AGCTTTTTTACCAGATGCTTTATTTACTTGAAATGATTTAATTGCTTTGACCTAATCCAGACCCAATCTACAAGGCCAAAATCTGGAGTGCAATGAAAAGCAAAAGAAAATATCAAGGCTTTTTAGTTGTGTCTTTTTAAGGTTTACATGTTTCTTAATTGTGTTTCTGCTCTGATCGGTTTTCTAAACCTTAAAGAACAAAACCACAACCAATTTCAGCCGTAAAAGTGTATCAAACATGGATATTTCTAAACCATCATAAATTGTTTGAGCACTGGATTAACCAAAAATTTCTACAATACTTTTCTCTCTACAAACTCTTGTAGAAATTTTTAACACAGCATCTAAATAACTGAAGAATAAACTAAATGAACAAACATGCCCCTTTCACAGGGTAACAGTGATCAAAGAAGAAAAAAAAAAAGTTAAGAAGAGGCCATATAAAAATGGAAGTGGTAGAACAGAAATGTATGCAATACTGATGGCTAATACATTCATGTTATCTAGCAAAAAAGCAGGAATGCAAATATTAATGCAACTTTTTTTTAAAATACTATTTTAATAACTCTTTGCAGAATATTACCATCTGCACCCCCATGGCTTTTCTTGGTGGTTTAGTTCAACAGGCAAACAATTACAAACAAAAAAATTTCAAAAAAAAAAATCAGTAAAACTCCTTACATAATCAAGGATCACTTCTTGGGATATAGCACTCATTTTATTATTCCAGGGACATTTGGAATTTACCATTCTTGAAAAGGTGCTTCCTGTAAAAAAGTTACATACTGCACCAGGGCAATCTGCTCATAGCCCCAGTGGTAAATCAGAAACGAGCAGAAAATTTTTGAGCCAATTCCAGGATGGTAACTTAGCTTTGATTCCCTCCTCAAGTAGAAAGGTTTTGATACATGATTATTTTAATTTTATCAGTACCCAAATGAAGGGGGAGCTTGAAACCCTCTCTTCTCACCTTAGTGGAGTGTGAGGGGCAGACTGGCAAGAAAGAAGCAGAGCATAGTTAACATGTACATGAGGTCTGAGGTAGAGACAGAAGCTGTAGGTCCCAGAACCATGAGGAATAGTTCCAAATATTTTTCTGCCACATACAAAAAACCTGAAATAACTATTACTAATTTAAGCAGACTAGCAGTTTTCGAGGGTGCAACATATGCCTTTATGGTTACAATTTAAGTCTCAATGGGAATGTTTTTTACACTACATATATAGTGAAAACAAAAATAACACTCACCTGATCTCACAAGATTTCATAGAGTAACATAGTGAATGTTGACTCAATTTGGCTCTTTAATAAGCTCTCTTTTGAATTAAGAGATACAAAACCAGTTCCTCTCTTCAGATAATGCAAGTGATTCATGGGTGCACTTCACAATACATGCTGTTGTGTGCACTACTGTACTCTAATTATTCCTTGTTTAAAATTAAAAAAGATCACTTGTTTTAAATTAAAATAAAATTTGTTTAAATCAGTAAATCACTCCACAACAGTCCATTCTGTAATATAATAGGGTTCTCTGACTACAAGCAAAACTTTCAAAGACAAAATTACAAGCTGAGCAGCAACATCAACTGAAATGCAAGAAAAATACCACTGCACATCCCATATTGCACACCTCATTGCATTGATACTGAAGAAAGCTTAACTACTTACTTATACAATTATTAGCATCATCTTTTGCTAATTAGCTGGCAAAATACAAGTATCTGTCTGACAAAAAGCAGCTCAATTGAAAAAATTGTAACATTTTACAGAAACAGACATATTGCAAGGAAGAGGAATAATTTGAAAATACATTCAGTCTGTACATAATTTATGAAGATTTTTCTTTTCCTCTACAGTTTATAAATAGCCAAAAGTCAGATTACTTTGCTGTCTATTTTTAAGATCTCATCAAATGTGACAGTCCAAACATGTAGCTTAAGGTGCTGTAGAATAAAATTACATAAGGTCATGAAACTACATTGTACAAGGACTTTGCAGCCAAACAAACCTGCTCAAATTCAGCCCCAAATCTAGCATCGCTGATGATTAGACAAGGTTGGGAGAAATAAAGCAAATATACTTCTAAAGCACAATTAAAAAAAAAACAACAAAAACAAACAAAAAACCTCCAAAACCACCAAAACCAAATGCCTAAAGCCAGAAGATACAAAAAGAAAAAAGAAGTCCAGTAGAATTACTTAGCAAAACAAGTACGTTTTCTCCTAAGAATTAAAAGACTGTTAGATATACAGTTTCCTCACCACATCATGAAATAATATATAGCAGTCTGTCTATAAGAAGGGAAAAAGCTCATAATAACCCATATCATATATAAGAATATGAAAGAAAAGTGTCAATTGTACTGTAGTTACCAGGAAAGACCTATTGCAATTCTACAAGTGCTACAAGTTCTACAAGTCTTACAAGTAGCTACAACTATTCTACACTGAAAGATCTACTTAACATCTGAACAAATGCACCATCTCTGCTAATTAATACCTTTGCATTTTACACATTCTGACTTAAACAGCTGAAAAGTATTAAATACTTACACAGCCTTAGATACTCAATTTCCTAGGGAGCAAGAGCCGGAACCAAACTCACAATGACAAGCTTTTAGATGACATACATTCAAGACAGTCAATTTTTGCAGACTCTCACATTTGAAGCTTACTATTAAGCTCTCCCACCAAGGCTGTGCAAATAAGCATCCCGGCATTTGTTAAATAGCCTGTCATTCAAAACAAATCAAGCAGGTAGAAAAACAGAATTAGTATCTTATTTGCTAGAAGCTACTAAAGGAATGATAGTAAGAGAGTTGCTGCATGAAACAGAATCAGTCTATGATTCTTTACTAAGATAATGGCACAGCAGCATAAAAACATCAGGAAAAAAAATCCATATTTTGTTTACACATCCAGTTCAGACAGGGACATCATTTACTCAAAATCAGGAATTTTAATATTGCATTCCTCCATAATACAAAATACTTCTATAATGTAAGTTGGATATGTGCCATGTACCCTTTGAAATCAGTAGGAACAATATTCAATTTTATAGGAAGAATTTAAATTAAGTGCAATTGTATATGTAAAAATCTTATTACTATGGTAAGATGCCCACGAAGTCCATGCCATAAATACAGTATTTTCTAATCGGTAAAACTAGACAAAAGGCTTCAGGATTCCAGTACCACCACAATAAAATCCATCCCTGATTATTCAAACTATGGGCCACACCAAAAACGTAATTAGAATTTTATGATCACAAGAGCTAAGAGTAAAGCCATCAATTTGATCTTATCTCTCACCATATGTCATATAATATAAGCAAGCACCAAGAGCATTTATACTTTGTGCTTTTACCACTACTTTTGGTTATATCTGAATGATTATTATAAATAGTCTAACGAGTTTCATTTCATCAACTACCTACTGATGCTCAAGACACTACAGACTGGACTTAATACTCAAAGACAATTAATGAAAAGCATTTTCACAGACATTAGAATGACAATTGTTCTTTTGATCCAACATCTACATTCTCAATATATAAATTTCCTTCACGTGAAATTAACGTTAAAAATAGACATTGACTTTAACAAAGGTCTAGTTGAAATTTTAGGACTTTCAATTTTGTGAAAGTTTTATGATGCCTATTTTTACTTAAGCTAAAAACTAATAAAACCCCACCAACATTTATGATTAATTCTGCTCTAAATACTTATTTACTACCAGCTGCAATGTTGAAAGGCCATTAAAAATGCCACTAAACCAAGTTTTCACTTGCAATCGACTTTAAAGAAACAAGTAGGTATCTGTGTTCACTATCCTGTGAATGTCAAGCCTTGAAAATATTACTATTCTACTAAATACTGAGTTGTTGCCCAGTGATTGTCTATGTGCACTTCACATCACAAAGCACTATCCAGAATGAAAGCATTTCACACCGGGCAAAAAAGTCTGGTGCAGGCAGCTGTTCCACATAGCAATCATAAAGGGCCAAAGAAATCCCTGCTTCTCACTAGTAATGCCCTACAGTGCCACCGACACTCATGAATGGCAGAGAGAAAAAAATTATTCCACAAGAAAAAAAGTGACCATCCTCTGCAAAAAGATTTTTTCAGAATCCACCACTACAGTCTCTGCAGTATTCACTGGCACGGAAATTAAGACTTCTGCCTGCTTAGTGCTTAAACCCAGATGTCAAGCATGAAGATTTGTCCCTAAGTAAAGAATAGAAAATCTTCCAAACAGCAAGGTCATTGAAGTTTTGTAAGTCTATGAGTCACTTTGACTTCAATACATAATGGGTGAAAATACTCTGTCAAGGTAATAGCTACTTCTCTGTGTCATCTGTCTTTGCTGGTGGCCACAACTGAAGCTGCTCAGCCACCCTTATTTCTTCCTTCTTGTAGCTATCCTAGACCACCTGATGTCAATTACCTCTTTCTAGATATTTTATGGTTCCTTCAATGATGGTAGGTTTGGAGTTAGTACATTACTGTTCAGGGACAAATTCTTGAACCCTCTGCAGCTCCCTTCCTCTCTTCTCCCTCAGCCCCCCATTTCCATCACCTACAGCAGGGTAGGCAGACTTCGCCAGATCATGAGACAATTTTTGACAGTATATCATCTCAAGAACAGAGTCTACAGGACATGATTAAGTCTAGACTGTGAAGGTATTAACACAGTAACTACCTCAATGTACTGACAAATTTTCATTTCATCAAAACAGAAGTGCATACACTTGAATTTGTCCCCAACATAACTCATGTTACTGTCATGGGGCAATTGTGGGGGTTATTTTAAAGATAAAGAAGCTTCTAATAGCAAACCACAGCTTTGTTTTACTAATTTAAGCCCAGACTAATATTCCTTGCTACATAATACTGGTCAAACTTCTAAAAGCAAATAATGAGGTAGTATTTTTCCCTCCATACAGACAAAAAACTAGCACTGACACAGACTCAAGTGTGAAGCATTTTAAGCAGGGTTACCTCAGATTCATCTGTTGATTCCTCATTAGACCTGGTTTCCTGAAAAGGACAAAAAGGACAAAGGGGGAATTAGGTAAGTACACACATAACTGAGCAGTATTTCACTTTTTAAAAGTACTTTTAATCCTTTATTAAGACACAAAAGACAAAGCAAAAGCAACTCAAAGTTTAGTTTCCATCCTGTCCATTCGTACCTGGTTTGTTCTTGCGCTTGCATTCACATGCCACACTGATACTCAGGGGCAGCAGTTGATTGTGACACTGCTGTCAGTTACCCTAAGAGTGATTGGATCATCTGAGAATCTGTCTCTGTGATAGCTTCCCCCCTTCCAGAAGTGGTAGTAAGTTTTGTTAAGAAACTGCCCAGGTCTTGACCTTCAAGGCAGAATAGCATTCTCCAGTTATCCATAAACTAGCTTTGCTATTCAACTACACAGCTTTTAATAGGCTTATTTTAAACTTAAATAATTTCAAACTATTTTCCACAGAAATCCAGTATTTAATGACTTTCTTCTTTTCACCCCATGTCAGTGCAAGACATATGGCTTTCTCCTGCCTTTGAAACAACTGTACCTTTAAAACATCTCTCTCTGGCAAGACAATGATTCTTACTATCCTACAAAAAAAATTTTGTAAGTTAACTCCTGCTCATCTCTCATCTGTTCACTGAGAAAATCTGCTGATGCAATGCCTCCTCAAAGAGGTCAGCAAAATGAAGATTTACTTAACGTATTTATCTTTATCAATAGCAATAAACAATTACAACTAATACACTGGCAGTGAATGTAAGCATTTCAGCAATAAAATATGATATAAACAAAGAACAAGCTAGAGAGAGGGCAGCATTTCAAATCTTATGATGTGGTCTTTGGACAGTAAGATTAACAGGTACAGAATTTCACCAGAGAAGACAAAAAAAAAAAGACACTGTTACCAACAGCTTAGAGAAAAATGGAAAGGGAAAAAAACTGAATGCACTGACAACCAGTATAATTTTTTGTTTGTCACATTTATTTATTTATTTTCCATGTTTATTAAATGCCCTGATTGTGAACTCTAGGCAAAAAGCAAATGTCTCCTTTGCATTAGTGAGGGCTCATCTTGGTGCCCATAATACATCACAGCAGACGGGACAGAAGAAAAGCAGCACCTCTACTTGCTACCGGAAGCTTAGTGCATGGTGTTACCATGACTACTGACATCTGTTTCCTTCATTTTACTCACTACAGCCAGGCCCACCTCTAAACCACATATCCCATAGAAAGGTTATCTGTGTAGTCTATACTTGAGACATGAGTTGGGAAATTGCAAGTATGAAGAACATGGGACTCAAGGGAAGATGGAGTAAAATCCTGGCATCCTTTCAAATTTAGGTTTGACTTTGCACGTACAACTATTTGTCTGTCAGTCTCCCAGTCTCTAATCACAACCTGTAGTCACCTTTCAGGAAATTAGAAGTTTGTTACATAGAATCTTTGTGCATCTTAAATTCTACTTAACAATAACCAAATCAGGACAGAACTAAGCATTGTGGTGTAATGTTGCCAGCCTATTGGATAGGTTAGAGTAACACACAAAGTCTAATGCAAACTATCACCCCATTCCTAATAAAAAAACTGACTTTCTCTCTTGAATACCAGGAGTTGCCTCCTCAACTCCTTAATAAATCAAAACTATTAGCACTACTGTTTTGATACATGGATATAATTCATATAGTTTGTAATAATATAATTTTTTTTAAAAAAGTAACTTAAATCAGCTCTCCCAAACAAATTAAGCAATTACAGTTCTGGGCCCCTCAGTTCAGGAAGGATGTCGAGGTGCTGGAGAAGGTGTAGAGAAAAGCAACAAGGCTGGTGAAGGGACTTGAACACAAGTCCTGTGAGGAGAGTCTGAGGGAGCTGGGGTTGTTTAGCCTGGAAAAGAGGATGCTCAGGGGACACTCATCACACTCTACAACCACCTGAAGGGAGGTTGTAGCCAGGTGGGCATTGGAGTCTTCTCCCCGGTAGCTATCAGTGAGATAAGAGGACATGGTCTTAAGCTGTGCCAGGGGAGGTTTAGGTTGGATATTAGGAATAAATTCTTTACAGAGAGGGTAAACAGGCATTGGAATGGGCTGCCCAGGAAAGTGTGGGTTCTTGGTCCCTGGAGGTTTTTAAGATGGGACTGGATATGGCACTTAGTGCCATGGTCTAGTAACCACGGCAGTGCTGGATCAACGGTTGGACTTGACGATCTGAGAGATCTTTTCCAACCCGGCTGATTCTGTGATTCTATGATGCAGCAAGTAACATTTTTGCTGGGACATGAGACTTTCTAGTGCAGCTACACCACCTACATCCACCCCTTATGGTTCCAATTGCTTTGGCTATTCAGGAGAACAGAAATGCATGTAAAGCCAGTTACAAATTTTCAGGATGAGCTCACAATCTAACACCATGCAGACAGACCAACACACGTGCAGGGAGGAGTTAACAGCCCACCTGCTGAGACAGCAGCTGATACTTACACCCACCTGAGTCACTTAAATGAGCTGTAAGCAGTTACCTGCAAAGGCATTCCTGGAAAACACTGGCCTACCAAATCAGGGCACACCAGAAGTTGATTCCAATAATCAAACCGTGTAAACTAAGCAAATACCAATCTATTTTTATTTAGGACATCTACTCTGGTATCCCTACTGTATTCACAAGGCACTACAACCCCAGATACTAAATTTCATAAAAGGCACACAAATAAAGGTAAATGCTGCATGGCCTTTGTGTTTAACTGCAGAAAATAACATGCAAAAATTCAGAGGGAGCCTTGGCTTAGGAAAGAAATGCAGAAACCTTATATGTTCCCTGACAAGAACTTAGCTGAAGGTGCTTAGAATTGACACTTATCTATTAACCCACTTTGCTAGCAACTTATGATGAAAAGCTTTTTCCCTACGTTCTCCCACTTAGGCAAATTGGAACAGTAAACTGTAGTTATGATTGCCCTGGAGTTTTGTTAGGTTCCTTTCTCTTCCCTCCAAATACATGAACTGAGAAGATTATCCCCCACTTCTACTTCTTAGTAGCCTTATAACTGTGAAAAAAGAAAATCCCTTAACAGGGATTTGTAGACAACTAGAATCCTAAATCATGTAGGAATAACTGTCACTGGTAGGTCTCAGACTCCAGGGGAAATCAGCCAGCTGCACTTCAGCCAGCTGGCAAATGCTGTTTTTCAAGTAGCCTAAGAATGGGGAAAGGGAACACAGATGAGGAAACCACAGAAATGTGAAGTAATCTCCTACCATTATTATATTTCATTTAAACAGGTCCAACATAACTTCTCAATAAATTCTTAAGTGGGCTTTCCAATATGGTGGATATAGGGTTTTCCCTTCCCTGCCTTTACAAATATCAAATGCCATCTATATATATATTTAGGCATTTGATGCCTAAATAACTTAAAGCTGACAGAAGGGGAAAGCCACAGAACTCGAGTTTTAAAGAAACACACATGCACAACGCATACATCCCTTCCAAAAGAGATGGGCACGCTCCCCAGAGGAAATAAACAAATAAGGTAAGTTTCCTATCATAGTCCAAAGAGAGCAAAACACAAGCTAGTTTAATCTCTTATATTATTAAAGAAGACTTGTCAAGAGTTAAGTTTTATCCTGAGAACTCTTTCACAGGCTGCCACACTTAAAAACGTACCAATCCTGGGAAAGAAGCCTCATGTAAGGAATCCAACCCCTCCCAACAAAACCCCGACAGCAGGGAAGGTGGAAACGACCTGTCAATCTCTAATTTAGGCCAATTCCCTTGGAGTAATTCTAAAACTCTCCCTCCTTTAGGTATTCGAGACAAGACAAACATCCCACAGGTTAGCTGTCTGTCCAAGTTCTGGCTCAGCAAAGAAACACTGAGAACATTTGTAAAAGGGCCGGCAACTGCACTTCTTGCTTTACTTCTTTTTTTTTTTTTTTCTTTCCTTGGGAAGGAGCGATCTAGGCACAGGGAGCTTTAGGAGAACATCTCCTTTAGGAAACCACAAATCGCCAGCACCAAACTCCTCAAGTCTTGTCGCAGGAGAAAAATCCCCAGTTGAAATTAACTTGGTCATGTCACCCATGTCCCTTGGTAGGCAAACCCTCCAGTTCTTTAGCCTTGGCTCCACAGCGGCGCCAGCTACACTTCTAAACCTGCCCTCCCGGCCAGATCCAGGTTCCGCCGCCTCCATCTTCTCTCCTGCGCCCCGGCGCAGCGAGGATAGCCAGAAGGATCGCCCCGCCGCCGGCCCTACACTCTCAGGGCGGGCTTACGGCCTCGGCCTCTGCTCCCTCTCACACGCGCTGTCCCTCCACTCCCATGAGCCGCCCCGGCCCCACGCTCCGGCCGCCCCGGCCCCACGCTCCGGCCGCCCCGCTCCGCGTCGCTGCGGCCACAGGGCACCGACAGGCTCTACCTTCTCCTCGGCTTCCGCCATGGCGCAGCCGGGCCGCTGTCATGTGAGGGGCAGGAAACCGACGCGGAGGAGGCACTCTGGGAAATGTAGTTTCGGGGGTAGGGATGTTTTCCTCTTTTTTTTTTTTTTTTTTTTTTTTTTTTTTTTTTTTTTTTTTTTTTTACTTTCTTTGTTTCTTCTCTTTTCTTTTTTTTTTTTTTTTTTTTTTTTCCCCATCCCCTCCTTTTTTCCTTCGTCAGCCCAGCTGAGGCATGGTGGCGATGCCTTACAACCTGAACCGAGGGCAGAAAGAAGGCTGGGCTCCATGGGCAGCACAGTGTGATAAACTGAGAAAATAATTCGAGTTAATTAAGAGGCAACAGTGAAAGGTCAATACGACCTGGAGAGAAAAGAAAAACAAGTCGTAAAACTTAATTGGGTCCCTATAAAGAGATAAAACAAGTTACCTCCCTTTACCTTGTGTAGGATTTATAGTGAGATAATTTTGTTTAGTTAGATAATAGGACCTTTCTTGAAATTTATAACTTTGTATAGATAGCAAGCAAACATCTGCAGAGTGTCTGATTTGACAATATATTATGGATGCTTATAGATAACATTCTTGTTAAGAAAAACATCTGTTGAATGTCTGACTTAACAATGTGTAATGTTTATGCTTATGTATAATGAATATTCATGAAGTAGCTGGAAATAAATGTAGAACAACTATCTTCTTTGGGTGTGACAGGCATTGGGAGTTGTTGGACCCCTTCCCTGATCACCCAGCGCTGAATTTGCTTTTATCATATAATAAATTCTGATTGGAAATTACCCGATTGAGTCTCTGTTTCTCACACCCAGCTGTGGTGAGATGGAAGGTGGCCCCTGTGGTGACTGATGAGCTGGCCCTTGGTTAGCGAGGGTCTGGGTGTAGCTGAAGCCAAGAGCACTGGCAGCGTTCCATGCCTGCTGTCACTGCTGTGCTTGGACTGCCAGTGCTCCCGGACCAGGCCCATTTATTGTCACCCATCTGAGCATCACTTGCTCGAGCACAGCTCCCCTTTCCATTAGATCCTCTGGTGAGACGTGTAGCAGCTTCTCTTCATACTTTTTACTTAATTTCTCAATTTTGAAATGGCACACACACTTCAGTGTCAGGAGGAGGATTTCAGAAAGCCTAAATATCTTCTACAATTCTAGAAGCTGCTGTATTTTGTTTTTTAAAAGCATAAAACAAGACTTGAATGCCTTGCTTGCACCTAAATTACATTTTTTTATATATTAAAAGTCTAACCAAAGCTAAAGAGCAATAGGCAGAACTTTTTATCACTTGGGTTTTGCCACTGGAGCTATTTAAAATCTCAGGTGGAGCTACGGTGTTAATGTGCCCTTGCGATCAAACCCAAGAATTTAAAAATATGCAGTTCACCTTTGGCAGTAACATAGAAATCTGATTATACCACAGTGTAAGACTGTAAGGACAAACAGTTAATCGCAGAGTGTTATCACCTTCAATATTAAAATCATGTATATAATTGCCATACCTTTAGAAAATAATAGCCAGAATTTTGACTGAGAAGAGCTAGAATTGTCCTTTAAAATCACACTGAAAGGTTTACACTGGGGTGAGAGACAGCTATCAAAGTTACCAGTTTCAGTGCAAGAATGTATGGAATTGCTATCCTGAATATGTTTAATTGCAAATGACATTAGAAAATATCTTTATGGACTATCAAAGTACCATGGCAAAGAAGCATGTAAACGTCATCTTGGCCTTGTAAGCCAAGGGATATCTACAGAGAACGAGATGTTTGGCTGCCACTGTACAAAATATTGTTGAGACCACACCTGGGTATAATGGTAAATTTCAAGTCACATTTGTTACAAAAAAGATAAATTGAAACTGGAAGGGGCCAAAGGACCACTAAAAGTATCACAGAAGTTTAGGGTGTATTCTGTTGCAGAAGACTGATAAAAAGGACTTAGCTTCTCTAGTCTAGAAATAAAAAAGAGCTGAAGAGGAAAGACAGCTATTAAAGATATGAGATCAAATAGGTATCAGCTATTTTCAGTGCATTTAGGCTGGAAATGAGAAGTAGATTCCCATGTGTCAGGCATGTGTGGTCCTCAGAAGAACCTTGCTGGCAAGAATTAACTGATTTCAAGATGAGACTTAATAAACTTAAATAAGAGACTGTAAGAGGTGTTTGCTGACAGCTGTGTGGTTTACCCAGAATGCTTACTCATTCCAGTCCCTTTTGAGCCTTCTTGAATTTCAGTCCTATTTAAATCAATGAAAAAAAATATCCTTGCTGACAATGGAGCCAGGATTTGTCCTGTAATATGTAATGCACAATGTATATTATCTGGTACTTGAAACTATGTGTATCTCGTGAAAGGAAATTTTGCCAGATACATTTTTTTCCTACTTTCAGGGTAAAATAAAACCTCAGTAGGGCTTTTGGGTTTCAGGGTTCATTTTCTTTTTTTTCTTTTTCCTTTTTCTTTCCTTTTTTTTTTTTTTTTTTTTTTTTGACATCAACAGAGGTATTTTGTGGCACTTTTTAAACTGGAATGAACATTAATAACAGACCTTTTAAGTACCAAGAAAAACAGTGTAAGGAAAAGGATGGCAGATCTTGTAAACTTTGCTATTATAATAGCTAACAGTGCACATTTGTTCATTTTTTACAAACAGAACAGTCAAGGAACAGCTGTGCTTGTTTTCACTGCACACAGAATAAGTGGTATAAACAATGTGATTTACTTACAGGGTGCTGCTTATTTCCGGCAGAATGGTGCAAAACTAATTCTTTTCTTGTTTACACTTAAGGTACAAATTCAATCTGCTGTAATTATGGGGTTTTATTGTGTCAGGAAAATTTAATATGTCAACATCTGATTCTGCCACCCCTCCCACACCCATCCTCCAGAAGTGCTGAAAGCCATCAAGAAGAAATGACATCACTAGGTTTTAAAGTCTTTCAGTACCTCCCACTAAATACTCAGCATCCTACAGATTTGGGCCTGAGAACATCCCAGCTAAAGTGTAGTTCAGCATAAGTGGAAAATACAGCACTGCCTAAGGGAAGTAAATGTTCTGTCCTAGCCTTAAAACCTAGTCTCTCTGTGTCTGCCAGCACACAGAGCTGAAGTTTGGATTAAGTCAGTTCTACTAGAGGTATAGGTTTGGGATTCCTGGCGAGATTTTTAGGTAGAGCATTTTGGCTCTGATCCATCTTGTGTGATGGGCTGGCTCTACTTTATCATTTAGTTTTAACTTGGTTCACCAAAAATAACACCCTTCACAAGTCTTTATATAAATATTTTAACCATACCATGATGGCTTTAATGTTCTTACTGCCTATTTTAATGCAGAGCTTCCAGCTGATAGGAATTCTGCAGGACATTTCTAACAGGATGCTGATAACTCTATTCAGTTTGAATTTTAGAAATTCAAGTCTGTCGGGAATTTCTGGTTTATTTTTTGCCATAGAAAACAGAATTAGCATTGAAACCTGGATCTTGACCAACATTCAGATTTCAAATAGTTAGAATTTTTATCTCTTGCTTTAACACACTTTCTCCCTGACCACTGTGAAACATAAGAAGTAGCAGTATCCACGCCAATTGGTATATTACTGTATTTCAGTCTCCAAGAGCTCTCAGTTGCTTTCAAGTAGGACTGATTCATCCAACAAAATGTTCGGGTGAATTATCTCTCGCCACTCTCACCACCACTTCTTCAGTAAAAAAAAAAAAAAAAAAGCAGGGTTGTCTCTAAGTTAATAGCATTTAAAAACACTATACTGGATAAAACATAGCTCATGCTGACAATACAATAGAAGTTCAAAGATTTTCCTCTTTCTGATTGTTTGTAGAAATAAATTTGCAAAGCCTTTTCTTTTTTTTCCTCCTTGTGATCAAAGAATTATTTCTGTGAAGATGCTTTCAATTTGTACTATAGCTTACATAATTATAATCCTGAATATGTTCAGGAACAATCCTTTAAAAACAATCCTATTTCACTTGCTAGCATTATATCATTTTGCAGTTGTTTACTTTTTTCTTCTTAATCCCTCTCTAAAATTTGTTTACAATATTTCTTACTGAAATAAGTATAGGAACAACGACTATAAAAAATTTTCAATGATGAATGTAAAACCTAGAGTACCATGTGGGCATCATAGTAAATGCCTCCTTCAATTGGCACTAAAGATGACTGCTGTTTAATTTGGAATATCACCAAAAAGACAAGGTAAGAAATAGAGGTATTCATTACCATTATGTCCCACCACTGCAGGGTATTTAAATTAAATTTAAATGATCAGCTATTTTTATAAAAATGAGAAATATCAGAAAGATTATTATGTATGGTTTATCAACCTTTAAAATGGTTGATCTTTATTTCCTGAGATTTAAAGACTTTTTCAAAATACAGTGAATTATTTTCAAATCCTTCAGGAATAATGTTTTACTTAGTCTTTTCTGTCTTCCTCTGACCCTCCCTCCCTGTCTGGGTTTCTTCTGCTCCCTTTCTTTGTCTTCACTCTCAGGCAGGCTTTACTGAAAGATACGTTCTTGTGCTGAGTAGAACACACAAAGAAGATGAAAAAATTTGAAGAACAGTAAGCAACATAAAGCCAGTACAATTATCTATTTATTAAAGGTAAACAAGAGCTATAAATAAAGTAAGGGACTGTCTTAAAAACTTTATAGTTAAATGTATAAAGGGATTTGTAGAGAAGGAGCAAGTCTGAAATGGAAAAATTATTATACTATAAGAAAATTCCATAGATTTGTAGATTATGAAGCCAGACAGGAATAGCTCTGTGATTTAATCTGAACTCCTTCCTAACATGGGCCATGAGATTTACCTAAATTAGTTCTTCTTTGTACCTTTTTTTTAAAAAAACCCCATACCTTGACATAACATTTCCAATCACACAGAACTCCCTGTATTTCTGGTAAGTCATTTCAAGGGCAGTTTTACTCACTGGTAGAAAAACATAGAACACAAAAGAAGCAGTCAGAACAGTGGTCCATATAATTTAGTGCTTGATCTTCAATGGTGGTGATAA